GTCCGTCGTCCCACTACAGTCCCCTTCTTCTCTCATACATCCATGTCCCCCATACCCGTATGTCAGTCCTCCCACTACAGCCCCCTTCCCCTCTCATACCCCCATGTCACCCATACCCGTATGTGCGTCCTCCCACTGCAGTCCCCTTCCCCTCTCATACCCCAGGTCCCCATACCCGTATGTCCGTCCTCTTGCTGTAGTCCCCTTCCACTCTCATACTTCGATGTATCCCATACCTGTATATCCGTCCTCCGTCTGCAGTCCCCTTCCTCTCTCATACATCCATGTCCCAATACCCGTATGTCAGTCTTCGGACTGCAGTCCCCTTCCCCTCTCATACCTCCAAACCCCATATCCGTATGTCCGTCCTCCCACTGCAGTCCCCTTCCCCTCTAAAACTTCGATGTTTCCCATACTTGTATATCCTTCCTCCCACTGCAGTCCCCTTCCCCTCTAAAACTTCCATGTCTCCCATACTTGTATATCCGTCCTCCCACTGCATTCCCCTTCCCCTCTAAAACTTCCATGTCTCCCATACTTGTATATCCGTCCTCCCACTGCAGTCCCCTTCCCCTCTAAAACTTCCATGTCTCCCATACTTGTATATCCGTCCTCCCACTGCAGTCCCCTTCCCCTCTAAAACTTCCATGTATCCCATACCTGTATATCCGTCCTCCCACTGCAGTCCCCTTCCCCTCTCTTACATCCATGTCCCCCATACCCGTATGTCAGTCTTCGCACTGCAGTCCCCTTCCCCTCTCATACCTCCAGTCCCCATACCCGTATGTCCGTCCTCTTACTGCAGTCCCCTTCCTCTCTCATACTTCCATGTATCCCATACCCGTATGTCAGTTTTCGCACTGCAGTCCCCTTCCCCTCCCATACCTCCAGTCCCCATACCTGTATATCCGTCTTCCCACCGCAGTCCCCTTCCTCTCTCATACTTCCATGTATCCCATACCCGTATGTCGGTCTTCGCACTGCAGTCCCCTTCCCCTCTCATACCTCCAGTCCCCATACCCGTATGTCCGTCCTCTTGCTGCAGTCCCCTTCCACTCTCATACTTTCATGTATCCCATACCTGTATATCCGTCCTCCGTCTGCAGTCCCCTTCATCTCTCATACATCCATGTCCCCATACCCATATATCAGTCTTCGCACTGCAGTCCCCTTCCCCTCTCATACCTCCAAACCCCATACCCGTATGTCCGTCCTCCCACTGCAGTCCCCTTCCCCTCTAAAACTTCCATGTCTCCCATACTTGTATATCCGTCCTCCCACTGCATTCCCCTTCCACTCTCATACTTTCATGTATCCCATACCTGTATATCCGTCCTCCGTCTGCAGTCCCCTTCCCCTCTCTTACATCCATGTCCCCATTCCCGTATGTCAGTCCTCCCACTGCAGTCCACTTCCTCTCTCATACATCCATGTCCCCATACCCGTATGTCCGTCGTCCCACTACAGTCCCCTTCTTCTCTCATACATCCATGTCCCCCATACCCTTCTGTCAGTCCTCCCACTACAGCCCCCTTCCCCTCTCATACCTCCATGTCCCCCATACCCGTATGTGCGTCCTCCCAATACAGTTCCCTTCCCCTCTAATACCCCCATGTCCCCATACCCGTATGTCCGTCGTCCCACTACAGTCCCCTTCTTCTCTCATACCTCCATGTCCCCCATACCCGTATGTGCGTCCTCCCACTACAGTTCCCTTCCCCTCTCATACCCCCATGTCCCCCATACCCGTATGTCAGTCCTCCCACCGCAGTCCCCTTCCCCTCTCTTACATCCATGTCCCCATACCCGTATGTCAGTCTTCGCACTGCAGTCCCCCTCCCGTCTCATACCTCCATAACCCCCATACCCGTATGTGCGTCCTCCCACTACAGTTCCCTTCCCCTCTCATACCCCCATGTCCCCCATACCCGTATGTCAGTCCTCCCACTGCAGTCCCCTTCCCCTCTCATACCCCCATGTCCCCATACCCGTATGTCCGTCGTCCGAATACAGCCCCCTTCCCCTCTCATACCTCCATGTCCCCCATACCCGTATGTGCGTCCTCCCACTACAGTTCACTTCCCCTCCCATACATCCATGTCCCCATACCCGTATGTCCGTCGTCCCACTACAGTCCCCTTCTTCTCTCATACATCCATGTCCCCCATACCCGTATGTCAGTCCTCCCACTACAGCCCCCTTCCCCTCTCATACCCCCATGTCCCCCATACCCTTATGTGCGTCCTCCCACTGCAGTCCACTTGCCACTCATACCTCCATGCCCCCCATACCCGTACGTCAGTCCTCCCACTGCAGTCCACTTGCCTCTCATACCTCCATGCCCTCCATACAGGTATGTCAGTCCTACCAGTACATCCCCCTTCCGCTCTCATACCCCCATGCCCCCCATACCCGTATGTGCGTCCTCCCACTACAGTCCACTTGCCTCTGATACATCCATGTCCCCCATATCCATATGTCAGTCTTCGCACTGCAGTTCCCTTCCCCTCCCATACCTCCAGTCCCCATACCTGTATATCCGTCCTCCCACTGCAGCCCCCTTCCTCTCTCATACTTCCATGTATCCCATACCCGTATGTCAGTCTTTTCACTGCAGTCCCCTTCCCCTCCGATACCTCCATTCCCCTACTCGTATGTCCGTCCACCCACTGCAGTCCCCTTTCCCGCTCATACCTCCATATCCCCCATACCCGTATGTCCGTCCTCCAACTACAGCCTCCTTCCCCTCTCATACCTCAATGTCCCTCTTACCCGTATGTCAGTCCTTCCACTAGTCCCCTTCTCCTCTCATACCTCCCTGTCACACATACCTGGATGTCCTTTCTTCCACTAAGGCCCCCTTCCCCACTCATACGCCCATGTCCCTCATACCCGTATGTCCTTCCTCCCACTACAGTCCCCTTCTTCTCTCATACATCCATGTCCCCCATACCCGTATGTCAGTCCTCCCACTATAGCCCCCTTCCCCTCTCATACCTCCATGTCCCCCATACCCGTAAGTGCGTCCTCCCACTACAGTCCCCTTCCCCTCTCATACCCCCATGTCCCCATACCCGTATGTCCGTCGTCCCACTACAGTCCCCTTCTTCTCTCATACCTCCATGTCCTCCATACCCGTATGTGCGTCCTCCCACTACAGTTCCCTTCCCCTCTCATACCTCCATGTCCCCCATACCCGTATGTCAGTCCTCCCACTGCAGTCCCCTTCCCCTCTCATACCCCAGGTCCCCATACCCGTATGTCCGTCCTCTTGCTGTAGTCCCCTTCCACTCTCATACTTCGATGTATCCCATACCTGTATATCCGTCCTCCGTCTGCAGTCCCCTTCCTCTCTCATACATCCATGTCCCCATACCCGTATGTCAGTCTTCGGACTGCAGTCCCCTTCCCCTCTCATACCTCCAAACCCCATACCCGTATGTCCGTCCTCCCACTGCAGTCCCCTTCCCCTCTAAAACTTCGATGTTTCCCATACTTGTATATCCTTCCTCCCACTGCATTCCCCTTCCCCTTTCATACTTTCATGTATCCCATACCTGTATATCCGTCCTCCCACTGCAGTCCCCTTCCCCTCTCTTACATCCATGTCCCCCATACCCGTATGTCAGTCTTCGCACTGCAGTCCCCTTCCCCTCCCATACCTCCAGTCCCCATACCTGTATATCCGTCTTCCCACTGCAGTCCCCTTCCTCTCTCATACCTCCATGTATCTAATTCCCGTATGTCAGTCTTTGCAGTGCAGTCCCCTTCCCCTCCCATACCTCCAGTCCCCATACTCGTATGTGCGTCCCACCCTGCAGTCCCCTTTCCCGCTCATACCTCCATATCCCCCATACCCGTATGTCCGTCCTTCGACTACAGTCCGCTTCACATCTCATACCTCCATGTCCCCCACACCCATATGTCCGTCCTCCAACTACAGCCTCCTTCCCCTCTCATACCTCAATGTCCCCCATACAGGTATGTCAGTCCTCCCACTAAAGTATCCTTCCCCTTTCATACCTCCCTGTCCCTCTTACCCGTATGTCAGTCCTTCCACTAGTCCCTTTCTCCTCTCATACCTCCCTGTCACACATACCTGGATGTCCTTTCTTCCACTAAGGCCCCCTTCCCCACTCATACGCCCATGTCCCTCATACCCGTATGTCCTTCCTCCCACTACAGTCCCCTTCTTCTCTCATACCCCCATGTCCCCCATACCCGTATGTCAGTCCTCCCACTGCAGTTTCCTTGCCTCTCATACCTCCATGTCCCCCATGATAGTTAACTTTTCGGCATAATAAATTCGTTATGGTGTCTTTAGTTGCCGTATATGGTGTCACATTAGGTTAGCAGTTAGAAATATTTTTCTGCTAATCTAATACGACACGACATATAGTAGTGGTATATGGCTACTAAAGACACAAAACTAATAATATCTCCCGTGTCGTTGCCTCCGACCTCCACACATAGCTTCCATCCTCTGTCATACACCTATGTTGCCTACTGCCACCTGCCCTTGCAAACGGTAATTTAAGGAAAGAAAAAGTTAAAGTGTAACCTATGCAAATCTTTCAAAATCGTTATTAATATTTCTCCTTTTATATTTCTGTAGAGCAGCAATTCTTGTAAACAAGAACCTATACTAAACCTGAAACAAACAATTACATTATAACCAGGAACAATGACAATGGAGTTTATTTAACATAGACTACGACGGCACCTTATCATTATAAACGGTCATCAAGTCATTTGGTGAGTCATTCAAGCGCTAATAAAATCCTCTTTCAAGAAGGGTAACTCTATTTACCTATTAAATTCTACCAGAGTAGTTTCCCTTAGAATGATCTTCGCATTTCATAACTTGTACAGCTCCAATCTAAACAGGTGACGTACCCAATGTTGATGTGTATATTTCAAAATGTAAAGGCAGACGGAAGTGATGCATAAAGTCGACGCATGCGTGAACTTGCCTTCAGTAGCGGCGTCATGACAACTGTTAGGCCTTCCTGTGTGTCAGCCATTTTGAGAGATATCACTGGAAGTGTTCGCAGTTTTATCGTGCAAAATACGGGCTTTAAAAGTGTGTACGACTTGAAGAGGTGGAGAAAACTATGAATCCTACTAGGAAAGGTATGTGTAATTGTCCTTTTTACCAGTGATAAAGCTGGATGAAGCTGTTTTAATATGTTTAAATGCATAAAATAGACGCTGATATTTCTATACTCCAATTTCAATTGTCATTGTCTGTATGTGGGTCTTAATATTATGGAGTTGCACAATAGCTGTAGGTTGTTATTTCTAACCTGAACATTTTAGTTGTACTAAATGTACCCGGTGTGAAAACTTAACATGATACACCCCATAATCGACTGAGGGGAAAGGGAAATTATAGGATTCCTGCAGACACGTTTTCAAGACACAGAATTAATGAATTTTGTCCTTTATAAAAAAAGAATAGCCTTGATCAGAACTTCAACCTTTATTAAACACCACTTTGAGCATTTTATAAATGTATACTGCTGTTCAGTACTATCATACTGATAAATTGCTTGGTGGTAGTTCCTGTGACCCCCTTGCCGCCCGGGCTGCCAACAGTGGTGATGGGAGATGGGACCAGATGTCTGGTAGACAACAACACTATCTGGATACCAGCTGGTAATCCTGTTAACCTCTCCCTGGGTCCTGGTTACCTACAGCCAAGACTCCTGCAGCCTGGAGTTCAGCCATCTGTGACTGGTATCCCCCTGCCTCCTGCAGTCCAGGCACCACCTTGCAGTGGACGTAGGGAGATGATGCCTGTCTGCCAGCTGCCTGTCAGCCTGCCCAGTTCAGAGATGGACCTACAGCTGATGAGACCAGAGGTATTATTATATTTATGCTAATACATGTACCAGAATGTAACACAAAAAGTATGATTTTGTTTTTTAATCAATAAAGAATCAAAATGAGACTTTGACTGTATCACCCATCAGGCCTTCTCCTGTGTTCTGCCCCAACTTGACCAACCCAGTCCAGTTCCTGATTCCCAGTCTGCCCTTGTTGAATCTCCAGCCATATCTTCAACAAGGAATCCCAAACCCAATTCCAAGACCCCTATCCAGCTTAATAGAAAACCTGAGCTCAAGCCCTGCAAACGCAAGCCCCGCACTTTCAGGCCAAAACCTCAGCCAAAGCCTCGCATTCCCAAGGAGAAAGTGGGCAAGCATCAGCCTGAGAGCAAGCCCTACTTTGTGCCTCAGCCTCTTGGAGCTCGGCACATGAAACCCCAGAGCAAACCCCTGGTGAAGCGTATCACTAAGCCCTCTGGTAGTCATGGTATCATTAAGACCTCATCTAAGCTTAGTTTTGGTGAACAGTTGTTGTCTGCTGATGGTGCTTACATAAAGTCAAAGTCTGTCTTGCCCAGTACAGGATGCAAGACCTTCCCTGTCCCTGTTAAGAATGTAAAGGATAAGGTTGTTTCAATATCGGAGAGTGCTAAGTCAGGTGGTTTCACTGCTGCAACAGTAAGTGTAAGTCCTGACAAGGCAGTGGACAGAGCTGAGCCTAACCCTGATGATGAATATGATGTGGAATATCTGTATCTTACTAAACTGATTTTAAGGAAAAAGAAGAAACCCACTGCTGAGCCCAGTAAGGAGTCCGTGCCCTCACGCAAGAGGAAGTGCCCAGATGACAACAGCGAGGTGTCCCAAGCTGAAAAGCAGGCAAGACTGGAGGAGCCCCAGGACACTCTGGAGGACCTGGAAGCTCTCCTGGCTGAGTACAGCTCCAGTCTCTCGTCTGGCACCAGGGACTTCTTCTAAACACTGTAAGGGGCAGGGGACAGGTAGGTATAGATTAGTGTGTAGTATATAGGTTAATAATCGTATATTGTGATCTTTCTCTTATCCTTTCATTGTGCAGTTCAACTTCAACACAGTGAACTCGTGTTTTGACCATCAGCTCCCGTTTTTGTTATATCTACAATCTACCGAATCTAGTGCTATTATCTGTGTCTGGCCAATTCCACGTCCATGGTACTCTACTCTACATGGTACCCTACTCTGTTGTTAACTAATCTAAATGTTGTATGTCGTCTTCTACTCTACTCTGCTGTGTACTGTCACACTGTACCATACCCTGCATTGCCCAACTATATTCTCTTCTGTACTGTCCTTCGTTACTTTCTTCTACGCTGTACCTTCACCAATCCTGCTTACGGAACTCTGTACTCTCCTAATAAGCCGCATCTGTACTGCCCTACCCCCTGTAATGTCCTACCCTCCTCTGCACTGTCCTACTCTATCCTAGCCTGTACTGTTCTACTCTACCATACTCTGTACTGTTCTATTGTACCCTCCCCTGTATTGTCCTACTCTACCCTTCCCTGTACTGTCCTACTCTACCCTACTCTGTACTGTCCTACTCTACCCTCCCCTGTATTCTCCTACCCTACCCTACTATCCTCCTATGTACTATGCTACCCTGTACTCTACTATTCTGTAGTGTCCTACTCTTTACTTTCCTACCCTGTACAGCCCTACTGTACTGTCCTACCCTTTACTGTCCTGCTCTACCCTACCCTGTACTGTACTACTTTTTACCCTACTTTGTAGTATTGTACTGTCCTACTCTGTACTGTCCTACCCTACCCTACAATATACTGTCCTACCCTACCCTATTGTGTTCTGTCCTACTTTACCCTACTTTGTACTGTCCTACTCTAGCCTACTCTGTATTGTCCTACCCTGTCATGTGCACAAAGGGTTGCATACAGGTAAATGACGTGGACCTAAGAATGTAATAAGTCAATGGCAAAAGTCAATAAGTCAAATAAACAAAGATGGCGGATGCAGTATAATTTCGAAGTTTAATCTGTACTTTAAAAAAAATCAGGCATAGCTTCTGCGCACCTGGCTACCCACTGGGTCTGGGAGCAAATAATGCCATGAACATCACCCCTCATCCCCTAGACACAAGGACAACTGTCACAAGCATGCAATGTCTCTTACCCTTTCCCCATGTTGAAGCATATTGAAAAAAATTACCTTGTACATACTTACCTTTTGTTGAAATAAACAAAACAACATAAGACATTAATACAACGTATATCCCTGTGTTATGGGTTTTCGAACGCTGTAGAAACATTCATAGTTTTCTCGCTAGTGCATGAATAACTGTAAAACAACTCATTCACTTATAAAGGACATGTTTATCTTAAAAACAAGGAACCATCTGAGTATTTACAATATCTGTGGGACACCACACCCCTCGTTATAATGCAAGTATTCGTGATAGAAAATGTATAAAGGCCGAAAAGCTGCGTTACACCTATTCAGACATTCATTCAATCCTACTATATCCTACTCTGCACTGTCCTACCCTACCCTACTCTGTACTGTCCTATTCCACCCTACTCTGCACTGTCCTACCCTACCCTACTCTGTACTGTCCTACTCTAACTAACTCTGAACTGTCCTACCCTACCCTACTCTGCATTGTCCTTAGCCTACCCTAATCTGCATTGTCCTTAGCCTACCCTACTCTGTACTGTCCTACTCTACCCTACTCTGTACTGTCCTACTCTACCCTCCTCTGTAATTTCCTACTCTACCCTATTCTGCATTGTCCTTAGACTACCCTACTCTGTACTGTCCTACTCTACCCTACTCTGTACTGTCCTACTCTACACTACTCTGCACTGTCCTATTCTGTACTATCCTACTCTACCCTACTCTGTACTCTCCTACTCTACCCTACACTTTACTATCCTACTCTACCTTGCTCTACCTTATGTAGTGTCCTACCATCTACCCTTCTCTCAACTATTATACTGTCTACTATAAATCTGTTCATCTCATTGGCAACCTGACACTCCTGCATTGTCCTATCTGCTACTGTCCTGTTCCTTTCTCAACAGTCGGACTGGATATCTTTCCTTTTTCTGTCTTCTACTATCAACCATATTTCTGTTCATCTCACTACTCTCCTACTGGCTTGCGATAACAGTTTAGATTGTAGTCAAGTGGTAGTTATTTTCGAGAATTTATCATTGTGATTATGTTGAATCGTTCACTCTTTATTCGAGTAATGTAAGATATGCTAAGGAAATGTGTCACTGTACGTTTTTGTAAGTTCATGTGAAGAGTGGAAAGGGACGGCTGTGAGGGGAGGTTGGAGGCCGTTTATTTAGTATGTACTGATATACGTGTATTTATTTCAAAATTATTTATGTGTTATTCTTAATAAAATATATTTTTTCCAGTGTAAGAAGTAGTTCTGTTGTATTTAAGAACTGAAGTTGAATTGTGTGGTTAGATGATGTGAAGGAAGAATGTGGGTAGGCCATGGCATGGTGCTCATTGAGCATCAGCTGACAGGCCCCATTCATGATATACGTCTTTGTTGTGTATTTTACTGTTGAATTACTCAACAAGGTTTTTAATGGTCATTTCCTATCAACATCATAGCTCAGAAGATTGGACACCCATAATTTCTTTGATTTTAATCATGAATGCCACACAAACAGTGCATGATGAGAACAGTTTAGCATGAAGTGGTCAGTCAGGTCACACATTCATCTCACACAAATATGACTTGTATATCATCGTTCCTGACAATGTTTAAACTTGGAAAAGTATTGAACTTTAATTACAATCTTTCATGTCAGTTTATAAGAATCTGCAATTCACAAAATATGTGAACATGTATTGTATCCAAGATGGAGTGTTCAATATTTACGTCACACATATAATATTATGGCAAGATAAAGACACGAGACTGTGTTATGTACTCATACAAAGGAAGAGATATGCTTTAGTTTGAGTGTCAGCGTGAGAATGTATACCCCTGAGGGGAAACAAATGTGAAAGCAAATTCATGAGTGAGTGAGGAAATGGGCAAATCAATAAGCATATGCAGTGGAATATTATATCTGTATTATGGCGGCATGTGAGGTTATCCAGTCTGAACCAGTAAAACCAGGAAGACACACAACCTATCAGGATTACTGATGACCCTCCATCATGCACTATTTTCTTGTTGTGAAACATTCCAAAGACAAGACTGGGTAAATTATGTCAACTCATTAAGGATTTACAGAAAGCCGTCTTTCATGATATGCTTCCAGGCCTCTTTCAACATGAAGTTAGCAGAGGCTATACATTAAACTCACACAAATATAGCTTTGACATTTTTGTATATCACCATGCCAGACAATGTGTATTCTTGTGTTGTTGAATCTGAGATTGAGTGCATTAAATGTTTCCGCCACACTGGCAAATATATCATCGGAAGACAAGAGATGACATATGATATGTCCATTGAGACGAGACGTGTTTGAATGTGAACGTGAGAATGGACACCTCTGAGGGGAGCAAACCAAATGCGGAAAGCTAATTCACGAGTGATTTAGGAAATAGGCAAATCAATAGACATATGGAGCGAATATTCTAGCCATGTAGGCAATATAACATGTATTGCCTCGTGCAAGCACTTTTCAAACTCAGCAGCTGAAACCATAAGCTGATAAAACGTGCCTTACAGCTGGACCTCCTTAAAGAACCCTCATGTACAGCCATTGTCACCAAGACCATCTCAAGACAAACATGGGTGACTGGTAAACTATTCTGATCTTGACTCATAATGTGTGTCACTCAGATCAACACTGAACGTAAGTTGATGTAACACACGTCACAGCTGGCCCTCCATGAAACACTTTTAATACTCAGCAGCCATTGTCACCAACGTGGTCTCAAGACAAATGTGGGTGACAGGTAAGCTTTTCTGACCTGGACACATTAGATGGGTTACTCAGACGAGATCTGATCATACATGAATATGGTATAGCAATGATGCAAGGTTGATATCATACACTTATTCCAAGCAATACATGTTTAGGAAACAGCTTTGCTTTTTGCATTGCAAAAGTTAAAGTTCGGTTCTTGTATTTGCCAAAGATTTAATAGT